TGTAATATTACAAAACAAAGGACTCGAAGGATTATTGTTTCGCAAGAAACCGATCACATACGTGACACATCAAATACCTCATGCTGTTGCCCTGTGGAAAGGACAGCGGTACGTGACACATCAAATACCTCATGCTGTTGCCCTGTGGGAAGGACATCGGTCAAACCAACTCCGCACATGCCCGCGCAACCATCCGCAACGAGGGAATGAATCAGTGATGCAATGCGATGCATTCAAATTGCATCAGAACTGCCAATCAATTTGAAAAACGAGGCCACATGATGCAAATGGGCACCGAGTATGTCGCGCCAGAAGCAGAACCAAAGAGTCTGTCAGAAAAGCGCGCAAGTGGAAAGAATATTGTTTTAATTTGCTGGTCCCTTGGTCCCTGTTCCCTTGGTCTCCTGGTCTCACTCATCCTGGTCACTGGGAACAACCCAGTCAAGCCTGTAACCGCTGTAACCTTAATCACTTGTGTGTGTCAGTCCCCTGGCCCTTTGTTCCCTCAGTCCTCTGTCCCTTGCCTCTTCCGTTGGTGCTCTTGGCTTTTGTCTTCTCGGATATTGGTTTCGTGGTTCGTGGTTTTTGGTTTTGGTGGTTTGGCAGCCTGCTGGTTTGTTGGCTCGTGCCGCCTGTTTGTGGGTGGCGTTGAGAAAAGTTGTGATGGTTTCCTGTTTCCTGTGTTGTGCGTGTCTCCTGTCGTGTTTCTCACCACCTGCAGGCCTGCAAGGTGAGATTCTTTAAATGTTACTCCTTCCTTCCCTCCCTCCCTCCTTATCCCTTCCCTTCCCTTCGCTTCTCTTTTCTCTTCGCTTCTCTTCGCTTCGCTCCTTCCTTCCTTATCCTCTCCTCCTGCCACGTCCTCATGTCACAGCGACTGCCTGCTCAGTAAGGGCACGCATGGACCCGCATACCATCCAAAGCGCCAAAAATATGCCAAATAGAATGCTGTATCTTCTGCCATCCTTTCTAGCATACCTTCTGACATCCTTTCCGGCATTCAATCTACCATTTTTCTGGCATTCTGACCGGCATATCTTCTAGCATCCTCTCCGTCATTCTAGCTGGCATATTCACCAGCATTCTACCTGGAAAATCTTGTGATGTCCTTTTCGGCATTCAATCTGGCACACCTTCCAGCATTAATTCTTGCATACCTTCTCCAATTCTATCTGGCATATCTTTTGGCATATATGATGCCATCGTTTCTGCAATTCTTTCTGGCATGCCGCATCATCTTTTGCGTTCCTTTCCGGCGGTCTGGCATACCTTCTGACATTCTACCAGGCATATCTTTTGGCATTCTCTTTGGGTTTCTATCTAGCAGATCTTCTAGATTCTAGAAGTCTGGAAGGTATGCCAGAATACATGACGGAAAGGCTACCGAAGATAAGCCGGGATGTCAGAAGATATTTCAGAAAGGATGCCAGAAGTCAGAGGATATGCCACGTAGAGTGCCAGAGCATGCCAGATAGAATGCAAAACATGCCGGAAGGTATGCCGGAAAGAATGCTGGAAAGGATGGCAGAAGATAGGCCAGTTAGAATGCCGTTATGGATCATTGCCTTAAAGGATGCCAAATCATATGTCAGAAACTGTGGAATACACGTCGAAAGACTTAGCTGAATCGAAGTCGGACCATATGTCACAACATGTCAAGCACATTCCAGCTTGGTGCCATGCCAGAACACATATCAGACTGCACGGCAGCATAAAGGTCCGAACACATGCCAACAAGGACGTCAGAACACATCCCAGAACATTCCCGCATAATACGGTGGATGATGCGTCATAATATTGTGCCAATGCATGGTTTCCACTGTGCTTCTTTACTTTGGACCTTGTTGTCATGTGTTTGTCCTTGTGGTTTTCGTTCAAGGGGCCATTCCACCGTAGCACCTTTCGTGGGCCACCAACTGGCAACGTTTAGAGCAGGAAGGAGCAACCCTAGCTTGGAGCATAACTCTTGAGGAGCACATTCCAACTTGAAACACACGTTATGTGGGCCGGTCAAGCGTAAATTTTGGAGCAAAAAGCAGCCATTGCAACTTAGCATACCTTTTGTAGACGACCCGGGACCACAAAATGTATACTAGTAAACTAGTCAGTATACTCCACTCCTCTTGGCATTGGAATCACTGCTTCTTGCTCTAAATTGTGCTGTGCATGGCCCACAAAAGGTCTGCCCGGAGTTCGAAATGCTCCGCTCTACATTTTACCCTTGGGTGGCCCACAACAGGTATGCTCCAAGTTGGATTGCAATCCTTCCTGCTCTACAATTCGTCCCCAAGTTACCTACAGAAGGTGCGCTACGTTGGAATGCCTCCTCCAAACTCTTACCCGAGGAAGGAACCATAACAAAGCAGCGATCCGAAGCCAAGCTGGAAGATGACCGCAATGTCTGCTTGTGAGTGAGAGGAAAAGGGGAAAAAGGTTGGAGGCCATCGCCATTAGAAACAACAAAGAAAAGGAGTCTTATTTAGTAGCGATGCCCTTGTTCCTAGTAGCGATGCCAGGAGCCCCTAGTAGCGTCCGAACGCTCCTAGTAGCGTGGCCCTTTGCTCCGGCCAGGGGCTGTGGTCCTTAGGAGTTGGACATCGCGGTTGCAGGGGGTTGGGGGGCCTCCCAAAGAACCCGCAAAACAGCAAATACTGATAAATACTGTAATATGCGTGTTTTTTTGCGTATCAGGTGCGTTTTTTTCATAATTTTGTTCTCGCCCTGCATCTGCGGGCTAAGCCTTTGGCTAAGCTCCGCCTCGAACCACTTTGGTGAGCGGTGCTGTCACTGCTGTCGCTGGTCCTCACCACGTTGAGTGAAAAAGAATTGTCTCAATGCATCATGCAGCATATATAAGCAAGAAGGCCCTTTAAAGGAGGCCTTATCAAAGAGGCCCTTTGTCTTCTTTTGCTATATGGGTTTGAATTTTTTAAGGTTCCCGGGCCGGGATGTTTGACTATGGGGTATGCTTCGGAGGTATGCTTCGGGGGTATGCTTCGCGCAGTGTGAAGACTAAAGTAGTAGCATTTCCAAAGGGTATGCTTCAGGGTATGCTTCGGGGTATGCTTCGCCTAAGTCGAACATCCCGGCCCTACATGACCTGGACACCTTAAAAAAAGACAAGCCCAATATGTGCTTCCAGTTGTCTTCTTCCTTCTTTCCTGAATTGGTTGAAAAGTCTTCGCTCCGAGGTTCCTTTAGCAACTAGCTACCGCTGGCTATTCCATGCTATTCCTACCTCCGCTTTCACCACCGAAAGGTTCTTCTATCCCAGCCTGCGTCGGAGGGCATTCTTGGCTCCAATCGGACAGCTGGCTTTGGGTCATGGAGGCCTCTGCCGGAAAACCAATAGCTTCTTGTTACTACTAGTAAGGCACTTGTTACTACTAGCGATGCACTTGTTAAACTACTAGCTTCTTGTTACTAACAAACATGTGAACAGTTATGATTCTCTTGTACACTTGTGTGCAGCATCCTTCTCTCACGGCTCAGACGTGATCTGAATGGAGAAAATTGCACATCCCAGTGACTGCAACAGTTCTGGTTTGTTGTCATTCCCGCTGCCTTCAGACTGTACTCCTTGGAGATCTGCTGGGCAAATGACATCTCCCAAAATGTTGCGGACCTGGTTTTCAGTGTGTTGCGGATTACTCATGGTTGCTTCATGTTGCTGCCTGGGATGGGCTTTGAGTAGCTGGCAGGGACGGGCAAGGTCGCCTGTTGCACTTGCCCTCTGAGGTCCAATGGAATCCCCAAAACACGCGCGTTTCGACCTCAAAGAACGACTGCACCAACACGACACAAGGTACACCATCTGCATTCTTATGTCATCTTGCAATCGTGAATAGGGACTTGAGTGTCTTTTGTTGGCTCCACCGTTGTCATACCTTTTTGGAAAAAGATGTCGCGAACAGCTTAGGTCGAGGCGAATCTTCTTGCCTGGAGAGATTGGGGATGTTGGCGACCCTGGCGAAATGGGCCTGGCCCGGCACCAGCTTCTTCGGAAGGAACTTGAATTCCAATGCCATGACAGCAGCACGAAAGCGTGGGCGAAACGCAGCCGGGCAATCTGGCACGTAAGCTGCTCGCCTTTCGGCAATTTCACAAACAGCACACACACAATCAGGAGAAGAGAAAGGAAGCAAGCGCATGAAATCTGTGGCGAAAACATGATCACAAGAAGTCTTTGCCATCTTCGAGTCTGGCACTGCACTTCAAAGCGTGATTTCTCGAGGAATGTGCATGTTCATGTTTTTGTTTGTGTCCCGAAACCTGTCCCCTGTAAGCAACCTCGGGAGCGGAGACCACATCAGGTGTGTAGGTTTTACACTTCCAAGTTTTGGGGCTTTTATACCGCAAGGCAGAATGAAACTGGACAAGACGTTTCGATTGAAATATCACAAAATCCAGGTTCCAAAGGTTCAGGGAAACAGAACGCAACTCGTCCAATAAGTACACGGATGGGGTGCTAAATCGAGCCAGTGTACGCGCAAGGTAGAAAGCTACGAGATGAAACAGTCGATGACATAAGCTGCATGTGCATGCCCTTGGTGCAACCCTGAAAATTGTGCAAGGCAATGCTGCACGAGAGGAATTGTTTTCGTACAAGGAGGCACGAAAAAAACTTCGTGGGTGTAAGGGCGTGGTCGCGGGTCATCCCTCCCCCCGCCCCTGTAGTGCGCTGGGCACTTGCACTGCTTCGATAAGTGTCTCACAAACCCACTTCACCACCGCACTGTCACTTCACACTACACGTCACCTTCACCGCAACGGTTTCCTGTGTGTCGAAACTCACCCCTGGGCACCGGAGATTACGGACAGAAAGAGCGGTTCCCAACGCAATAGCTTCTTGTTTCTAATAGCTTCTTGTTACTACTAGTAAGGCACTTGTTGCTAGCGCAAAACATAAAACATATCGACACCGTGTTCACCGAATTTGTTCACGGCGCTTGTTCAGCTCTGTACACGTGTCTCCCTGCGCAGCTCAGTGCGGCTCTCGTTCACAAACCTGCAGCAGCACAAAGGCGGGACAAATGGCTCCTGGGCTTTTGGCGCAGTGTAAAAGCAGTTGTGCAGCGTCCACTCTTTGTTTGGTTACTGTCACTGTTCATCTCTGTTTATAGCTACACTGGCTACACTCCACTTTCTCAACCCTTGTCCTTCCATCATGATCTGCATCCAATAAGATGTTAGGAGGGCCTTGTTCCACCAATGTCCCCGCGTCCAGAACCACGACCTCAAACTGGCATGAGCAAAACATGCTTACTGTTAGCAGCTTCGGTCTTCCAAGGCGGTGACCCGCTCAAAACGTCGGATGTGCTGCAAGCGATGGCAAATCATCATAACAGTTGCCTCCAAAGACAGCACCACATCGTGCACCTCGAAGGAGGGCAGCTGTAAGTGAATTACTCTGACAAGAACGTCTTGTTTGCTGCATCATCTGTATTCTACCATGTCCGACAAACACCCAAGCAGAAATGACAAACTTATGGCCAAGAACGACTTCCTTCTCACTGACTTAGCCAAATGAGGGCATCCATCATGCAGGTGCTGGAAACAAAATAACATTAGTGTAGAAAACCAGAAGCAAACGAAGTCTTCCAGCAAGCACGAACCAACGAACGAATCGAAGGCGAGAGGCGATCGGCGTGATCGCGCACCGAGCCGGTTTTGGCTTTCTCGAGCCCGCCCTTCTGTCGGACGGTGGTTTGGTCTCCTGACCTACACAAAGCTGATGCACGGCGTACATCTTCACACGGAGGGGGAATGATGTTGATCAAACGCCCTCAGCCAGTGGTGCACATCCATTTCGATGCACCACCCTTGGGGATACAGCATCCTCTTCGGAGGTGGAGCTACTCCGGCGCAGTATGGACAGCATCGGAGCACGAGCAAGTTCTGCTCTGCAATTTGCTCCCGAAGGTGGCATGTCTCTCGGTGCCAACATTCTCCTCTTTTCGAGGCGAAAATCAACTGAGTGAACGGGCAGCGAGCAGCATGGTCGCTCATCTCTTCTTCTAAATTTTGAAAAAGGTCTCTGGCTGCCATACACAAATTGCGCAGGGCATCCAACTCACTCTCCTGCATCGCCATGGCGGCGCGAGCTTCTTGCGCTGCCTTTCTTGACTCTTCTACTTGCTGATTGGCCTGACTGTGTTCGGCCCGCAGCTTGGTGTTCATTTCTCTCAGACGCTGAGGGACCAGCGCTTCATCCTTCTGGGTGGAGGCGTCTTGTAGTACTGGTTGGGGTTGACTCTTGGTGAAGCGACCCAACATGAACATACCCAGGAGTGCCGTGACATGGATGGTGCCCAAAACCAAAATCCAGAACCACAAACTTTCATACTCTTCGGGCGCACATACTTCATGCGACCCGTGGGCAAGATGTTTGCGCGGCTCACGACATGGCTGGCTAGGAACACATACGTTGGAGCTTCGGTGTTCTGTGCAAAATGGACATACTCACAAAGCTCCACATTCTCATGATCGCCATTGTCCTCAAGAGTGTCAAAGAACTCCTGAGTGTCCTTGGTGTCAGGGGGCAACTCATACTCTGGCATGTCTTCATTCTGTGGGATCTCTTCATTGTTTGTGGCGTGCTCAGGCTTGAAGGAATCTGTGGACTCTGCAATGGCCTTCTCGCGCTCAATCTTGGTCTTGCGTTTGGCCGCAGTGTACGACGGGTCCCAAGTCAACTTGATCCTTCCGTGTCGAAGCCGAGCAGCAAGGAGTGCGCGAGCACTTTCTTTCGTGAACCCGTCACCGAGCTGTCTCTCTGAGGAGACCCATCGAAGTGAACCACCGATGTCCTGCATCCTCTCCTTCATCACTCTGACTTCGAGGCTGATGCGCTTATCGATGACCGATGATGCCTTCACGATGATAGGAGTCATAGAGAGCTTTTGCATCAGTGATCAGCTGTGGCGCCAGCTGAGATCGAACCTTCAGGAGTTCTTGAAGAGGAAGTGCTGGATGAAGTAGATGCTCCCAAAAACGGCATGCGAACTCAGTGGCATCTGCAGCTTGGCCTCCGGCCTGAGCCTCAGCTCCAAGGGAACTTCTGGCCACCCTCGGTGTGCGGAAGCTGCGCCAATCAAGCACATGATACTGACCCTCCTCTGAGGAGTTGAGCAGTGACTTGTTCACCAACATGATCATGTAGCCGCCCTGGGAGTTTCCATCTGGCCTCGAACCAAAACCTGCATCGAAGAAGGTGATCATCTGTAGTTGCTGCGGCTCACCAATGTGGTTGTAGGTGAGTCCGACGTCCTTGTTTTCCTTGCAGAACTTCAAGAGGCGGTTGCACTCGTGAACTGTATGCACTGTTGCCTTGTTGATCTGGCTGGACAGCATGGAGGTGGAACACTGCAAGTGAGGTGAAGTCTGCACAGCCGGCCATTGAACTGAGCCCAGTAGACCGCGGACCTGGGTGATCTCCCTCTCGTTGAGTGCTTCAGTCGGTGCTCTGCCCTTCTTGATGGAGATGGGACTGACCTTCCCCATATATGCTTCTTGATGAAGTCGGCGGCCACCCTCCTCGGTCTTTGTGAGTTCACATCCACAGTACTCGAGTTGGTCGAGATCTTGCTTCCACTCTCGAAATGAGAAGGTCTCTTTGAGGGTGTGAACCACTTCTTGATATCGCGGGGAGTTCAAACAACCGCTGCCCAACATGTCATCCACGTGCATGATGATCATTCCCACAAGGCGTTCATCGCCTAGGCTTTGAACTGTTTGGTGCACTGGATCTTGGGCATCATAGTTTGCGCTGTCAGTTTCGAATGCCAGGAAGCAACAGGGGTCAAGAGGATGTTGACGGAGTCCAGCACGTAGCAACCTGTCAACTGCTTCCAGAAACCAACCGCGAGGTGCGTCGATCTGTCCATAGCAGGGTTTGAGCAACAACATCCTTGTGTCCTCATCTCCTCCAAGCAGCTGAAGACATTCGGCCGGCAGTTTGACCCACAATTTTCGACTTTGTGGTCGCCCCTGAAGGAAGGCAGTGGAGACGTCGGCCGTCCATGTTGACCATCCCATGTTGGCTGCCAAGGACAAGATGTAGCTTCGGCTCAACCTGGTGGTCGTTGGAGAGGAGGTGATGATCTGGCCTGCCAAAGCGTCAGGGTCATTGTAGCCCCTCACGATCAAGCGGGCCTTCGCCCTCGGTGAGCCATCCGGATTCTTGGACCATTTCAGAATCATCCTCGCCGTCAGGGTGCGAGACTCATCGGCGTCCTTCTTGTGCTGAAAGGTCCAGACGCCGTGGTCGAAGAAGGACTTGAGTTCCTTGACCTTGGCCTCCTTGAAAAGTGCCCTTTCGTGAGGTCCCAAGGCGCGTTCATTGACTCCATTCTTGTCTTTCTTGAACTTCTTTGCCTTGATCATCTTTTGGTTCTTTGCTTCCTGTTTGATGCTGGTGTGGATGTTGTGCTGTCCCGAGTACATAGCCATCTCTTTCCTCAGGGAGCCATCGATCTGGAAGATCGTGCAGCCAGTCCATGAGGATTTGATGCCGGAAGGTGGTGAGGTCTCTGCGCCATCATCAGTGAAAAGGCGGCTCTTGCCGTCTGTCACGTGGACAAGGGTCACCTTAACCTTATCGAGACGATCGGCTGGGACTGGGCAGTCTTTTGGCAGGTGCTCCAAGTGTAGTCTTCCGCGTCGAGGCACAAGGTGGTGTCTGATTAGACATCCAGCTTTGATCTCCCAGAAGTCTGACGGTGTCTCGCTGAGAGTCAGGTAGCCGTGCTCGTCGACCTTCCAACCAGTGGGCAATTGGCTTGCATCTAGATCTTCAACAGCAAAGCCATGCTCTGAGTCCTGGTAGGTCATGCTTGCTGACTCTGCTGGTGTGGTGTTTGGTGGTGGTGCTGCTATGTAGGGCTCTGGCAGTGGCGGTCTGCTTGTCCTCCACGGTGCAAAGCTCAAGGTTTCTTGCTGGTTGAACCGGCGTCTTCGTTGTTCGAAGGTCTCCGGTCCTGCTGTTTCGTACAGTGACGCTGTTGCCGGATCTAGCATTGGTGCCTGTGCCGTGTTGTTCGGTAGTACTCCATGAGGTGGTGCCCCGTGTGGTGTGGGTGCTGCTGAGAGTGCTGGTGGTTCTTCGCTCGGTTCTGACAGCGAGAGTTCGCTCTGAGGAACTGGGATCTCTGCCGATGTTGGTTCACCTGTTTCGGGATCTGGTGTTGGGCCATCGTCTGGTGCCGGTGGAGGTGCCGCTGGTTGCCCCGGTCCTCCGTCTGGAGGTGGGCTGTCGGCGGATGCCTCTGGTGGTGGTTCTGGTGGTGCCATAGACAGTCGTGGTCGCTGTCTGGGCGGCGCCATCTCATGGTCGGAGTCTGAGTGAAGGTTTTCTGTCTCACCATGTTCATCCTCCTCCACATCCATGAGATTCCTCCGATTCAGCTGATGCAGATCGTAGTATCTGGTCACACCCGGGACTTCAGTTGTCTCACCTTGTTGAGTGCTTCTTGGGTGTCCTCCAAGGAGTGTGCCACGGCCTTGATGTCCGGCCTGATGTGATGTGGTGCACAGCGAATGAGTTGGCTCTCGAATGCCAGCCAGTAGACGGAGACTTGACTGTGTGCCTCCTGCAGGTTCTTGTACTCTTTCATCACGATGTGGGCTGGTCCGAGCCATCTGATCTTCACCAGGTCAGGTTGACGGGCATCCCTCCAGAAGAAGACCTGTTGGCCAAGGTGGAATTCCGTGTTGATGCCCTTGTACTTGAGGCTCAAGGCACGACGCAGTTTGCGGTCTGCATCTGCGTCCAGTAGTGCCTTCTTGGCTGCATGGCGCTTGGTCAGGGTCTCTTCGAAGTTGGGATGACCTCCAAGATGAACTGCCTCAAGGTGATCCGATAACAGATCACCAGCCATACGTGGTTGGTGTCCAAGGACCCACTGAGATGGACTGAAGCCTGCCACCGTTGGTGCAGCGTTGATCTGGGGCACGATGTAAGTCAAGGCTTCACGGATTCCGCTGACGTTGTCAATCTTGAGGTCGTCCATGTATATCTCAGTGGCTCGTCGGATCATGGCGTGGCGACGCTCTACCACAGCAAGACGTTCATGAGCCTCGCCTGGCGCCACAATGTGCTGGATGGCGTGTGAGCTGGTCCAGTCATCCATAGTTCGTCCAAGCCAGGGTCGCCCCTCATCTGTGATGAGCTTGGTCGGAGGTCCAAAGTGTGCGATCCATGATCGCTCAAATGCCTTGATGTACTCTTCGGTCTGCTCCGAACGGAGTAGAGTAGCTGAGGTGTAGCGTGTAGCCATGTCCACAATGCTCATCACTGGAAACTTGGCGCTGCCACGACGAATCCAGAAGACATCTGCTTGCACTGTGTCGTTGAACGTGGACGACTGTGGCATCGAAGCTGGTGCTGCTTGTGCTGGCTTCTTGTATTTGGTGCAGGCTAGACATGTATATCCACGAGCAGCTTCAAGAAGAGCTTCGGAGGCGCCACGAGCTGCCAGAAGTTCGGTGAGGGCTTCCTTCGAAGGATGTCCAAGGTTCCGATGGAGCTTCTGCACAGTGCGGATGGCTTCCTGGCGAGTGCTCGCCTGCAAGCGGACCAGGGATCCAGTCACCTCCTTCTCTTCAGTAGTGGCATAGACATTCTCCCAGGATTGAGGTGTTTCCGGTAGGCTCAAGGCTGCGGCCAGTGTTGCTGCCAAACCCGGTTGGTAGTCCTCCATATAGCGGGTGCGAACCCCATAGCCGGCTGCTGAGCCCTCGAGATGGCAGTGCTGGTGATCATGCTTGCACTGCAATGACATGGCTTCTTGAACGGCCTTCTTGGTCGTTAACAGCCGGGTGTTCTTCAGCACGGGTCTCCATTGGCCATCTGTGTCCAAACACTGAGCTCCATAGCGACATTGTGAGAAGTCTGTGATGCGGCCAGGGAGTGTTCGCAACGCCTGAGTTTTCCAGGACAAGGCATCTTTGGGCTGTTCGATGGTGGCATGTCTTCCGCCGGAGAGCTGTTTGAGGTATGCCTTCTTGGCGAAGATGAGGTGCCGATCATGATGTCGCTGTCTAGCAGCGACCAGGGCATCCTGTTGTGCCGGCGTTCTTCGGCCAAGGGACTGCATACGAGACCAGAGCTTGCACTCAGGAGCAATGAGCAGCTCGTCGGGCATCTCTTCATCAAGCAGCTCCAGGAAGGCCTCCTGGTGTTTCAGCTGTTCGAAATTCCACCCATTGTCGTAGGAAAAGGTGCGAACTTCCATGCCAAGTGACTGCGCCACTTCTGAGGTTCGAGCCTTTCCACAGTATAGCTCCCACAGGACTCTGGGTCGTTCAGGTCGGTGAAGCTCTCGGGTGATGTAGGCTGACAATTCGTTGAGCTGTGTGGAGAGAGTCACGTCCATGGTCTTCAAATCATGTCTCTTGAGGCTTTTGGTGTCGCAGGCCTCTGTTGTCGATCTCGTCGGCTCGGAACTGTTGAAGACCTTCTCCTCAAGCGTGAAGTCCTTGAGGTTGTAGCCGTCTTGCTGGTGGACGTCAGGGTCATTGCTTCGCAGCTCAAACTCTGGTTTGTTGGGATCGTAGTGCATGAGATCATGCTCGCCAGTCAAGGACCACAGATATTCACCTTGTCGACCCAGCACTGCAGGCTGCCAGGGTGACGAGCCAATCTTGAGTCGCCTGTTGGCGAAATCCATGGACATTCCCAAGGCCTCAATGATAGGCCTGCCGCACAACATAGGAGTGTTGCCAGGCAAGAGGAAGATCTCGATGGTGCCGTAACGCCCATCCACGAACACGGGGATGTGAGCGCTCCATTCTGACCATAGTGAGGCATCTCCGCCAAACTGAAACTTGCGCCTGCCCTTTGTCATCTTGATGACCTCGACTGGGAAGTTGATGTCCTTGTAGTGGTCAACCAGTCGTCGGAAAGGGCCATAGCCAGAGAGAAAAGCGCTGGCGCCAGGATCAAGCATCGTGCAGTCGGGTCTTTCTTGGCCGCTGCTGTCTTGGAAGATGAGAAGTGCCGTCTCCTGTGGCGATGTCAGCGAGGCCATACCTTCGGTTGCAGATGCTGGGCGTTTGAGGCTTGACCTCGAAGGTGATGACGATCCTTGTGGACAATTTGCCGCCCAATGGCCAGGTTGGCCGCATCGTAAGCAGTTGAGGTTGGCCTTGGCTCTCCCTTTTGGGTCGAACTTTCCTCCTCCTTGTGGGGGAAACTTGATTGTCATCGAGGACTTGCCTGATTTGGAACCACCCCCTTTTCCTTTTCCCTTGCTCCTCCAGCCTGATGGACTTGTAGTCGGAGAAGTGGATGAAGCCGGACCCTGCTGCTGATGGCCATCTGTCAGTGCCACGATGGGGAGGTAGCCTCTGGACATCCGGAGTTCCTGAAAGCGCTTTCTTGCGTCTGTGTAGGAAGCGAAAGCTTGATCATATTGATCTGCCAGGCTCTGAGGATCACCGACTTCGCCATTGGGATCATCTTCAACCCAAGGTTCCTCACCAAAGTAGCCAGCGTCCTGGTCGAAGTCGTACGGCTCCTCATAGGCGTAGTCATACTGAGTGGTGTCCTCTTGCCATGACTCTTCTCCCTCATAGTAACCATAGTCCCAGGTTTCGTCACCATCATCCTCTGGGAGGTAGTCATCAGCGGCGTATGCCTTGTTTGAGCGCCAGGAGGATTGGAATCGCCGGTTGCGATCGTTGTTCCAGCCGCCTCCCTTGTAGTCCTGTCCAAGGACCAAGTAGAGCGCTTCGATCACGTCGTTCTTCTCCATGCCGGGTGCTTTGAGCGTGATCATCTGCCGCTGTTCCCTTGTCAAGGCAGCTCTGCGAAGTAGATGCCATCCTTGGACTGAGGGAGGAAGCTCAACTTTATGTTGCAAGAGTTTGCGATATGCTTCTTCATGGTCGTTGACGTACATGAGGAGCGTCTGACCTGGTGGCCTCTGCAACAAGTTGAAGTATCCCTCAAAGTCTGTGGGAAGTTGAACAGGCAAAGTTCCGGTCGAGGACCTCTATGATCTTCGTGAATGCTTCGGCCTTCTCGAGGTCCTCCAGCGCCCAGTCCTGAAAGAGTCTCCAGGTAAGGCCTGTGAAGCTGCCCACGATGTTGAGAACACTTTCGTTTCCCCTTTTGGTGATGGACATCTTTCGATGATACAAATGTATCCGCTGCCTCCATTCCTTGTAGTCACTCGGCTGTCCGCTGAAGATGGGAACGTAGGAGTCCCTGAGGTCAGCATAGCCGGAAGATGAACTGCCTCCCGTCGAGCCGGATGCCTGCGTCTGTTGTTGTTGTTTCCCTTTCACCATGGTGCCAAGAAGCTCCTCAGGGGTCTGCTGGTTCGCCGGGGTGATGTGGTAGCGGATGAGAACTGCAACCAGACAAAGACCTAGACAGGAAAATAGAGCTCTTGGAACCGTTCGTGACGTAGGGCTTCTTCCGAACCGTCGGGGAGCCGTCGCGAAGTGCGCAGGGTAGGGAGCCCGGCGTGAGCCAGGCTCCGCTACCAATGTAGAAAACCAGAAGCAAACGAAGTCTTCCAGCAAGCACGAACCAACGAACGAATCGAAGGCGAGAGGCGATCGGCGTGATCGCGCACCGAGCCGGCTTTGGCTTTCTCGAGCCCGCCCTTCTGTCGGACGGTGGTTTGGTCTCCTGACCTACAAAAAGCTGATGTACGGCGTACATCTTCACAATTAGGGTCAAAGAGTCAAAGGTGAGCAAAAGCAGGTAAGAGCCCTGAGGATGAAAAGCAAAAGAAACAATGATAAACTAGTGATAATGATGGCCTCCAACCTAATTGCAATGGCCTCCAACCTACCAGCGATGGTCTCCACCCTAGTAGCGATGGCTTCCAACCTATCAGCAACAGGACGCTTCCTGGGCAAGATATGCTTTGCTAACTGGACGGTGGCCCAATTGCCTTTTAGCATTGGCCCAAAAACTGGGGTGCAGACTTTGCTAACAGGGTGGGTGGGTTTGGTTGATCGTGGGCAGCAACTGAAATTGGTTTTATTGGTTTTGCCTGTCCACAGGCCATCTCGTTTGAGAGCCCCCGGTGCCAGCTGCCGAGTTTGCCTACACGACAACAACACCCAAAACAAAATCGAACCCGACACCCACTCTGATAAAAGGTTTCCGGGAATGTGGAGACACTAAACGTAGAAGTAGCTGTTGGATGCTGCTACGCAGCATAGCGGGTGTACAGAAGGAAGTGGGATGAGTGTAAACGATCATTGAGCCATAACACGGGGGAGAGGGGAAAAAGCAATGCAACGCAAATGCATTCCAGCCATGTCAGTTCAAGTTCAAAACACATTTTTATGCAACATGAAACATGCAGCATGACCAAGAAAACTTAAATTTCGGCAATTGAAAATACAGAATTCACGGACTCATACAGAGCTGCAAGTGCAGAAAGTAGCCTGCAGGATGGTGCTAGGTGGGTGGGTGATAAGCCCAACCCGATACCCGATACACCACCGAGCCGAACGGCCAAACACTGCTGGCAACCTTGTGAGTATTTCTTGTCAGCAACTCCGACCTAGCATCACTTGCCACAAAGGGAAAAGATACACACAGGGAAAAGAGTTCTGAAAAAAATGGCGCGCTCCAGCCGCTTGAAGAGGCCTAAGCCTAAGCATCTATGCGGTGTCTACCAAACATGTGCAAGACGAGCCATGCCCACAACATCCACAAAGGTCCAAGTCAAAGAAGACTCCAAGTCCAAGTTCAAAACCTCACGGTCCACAACCATAACTCCCTCAGCCTGGTAAAAAGCCCGCACGGTCAAAGGAGCACTGTCAGAGAAACAACACAGCAGAAGCAGGCACGCGCCCAGGATCAAACCAGCCATCGAATGCAATCCTCTTAATTGGATAACCGGCTACATCAAAGCGGTGGGCCTTCTGCTAAGGTGATATCCTTGACTCCAGAGCGCAAACACACACACAACGCACATGTCAAGGCCTGTTGACTAACTGTCTCATACAGATCATACAGGGTCTGGATGGGTCTGGGGGGCCTTCTCGTCTGTCACCACGTCGATATTTGCAGTGGCTTCATCACAAAGAAGTACCGGCGGAGGCGCCCAATCATCTATTCTGCAAGGACAGCTGGGCACCAATACCCTTGCTAATGTGATAAGCTGCCGTTCACCAACTGAAAAGTTTTGCCCGGCCATGTCGACTGCAAAGTCCAAAGCACCCGAAAGAGATTGAACCTTTTCTTCTAATCCAACCACGCGAAGACAATACCACAAGATGTCATCAGATATTCCACCGGATTGTGACGACATGGTCAAGTTTTGCCTTAATGAGCCTGAGATGAGGAAAGCTTCTTGCGAAACAACCCGAACTTTCGTTCGCAACGTGCGGAGAGGGAAGTTGCTGATATCAATGCCATCGAGCAAGACGGAGCCCGATGCCAAAGGATAAAGACGGTTCAAAACACCTCGCAGCCGCATGCTCAAATGGCATGGAACATCAAAAATTGTCATCAAATAGGTGCAGAGTTATCAATACAGCACAATGCAAAAAGAGAATGACAGATTCAAACCCAGGGTCTGAAAAGAGAGCTCTTCCCGCAACCTGTTCGGCCGCAGAAGGCCAATTTGGATTTGCTTTCGATCTTTAAACTGATCCCTCGAAGCACCAAATCTCGGTGAAGGCGATAGCGCATGGACACCTCAAAGCGACAAATGGAATCACAAAGCTACAGCTAGTAGTAAGCTTCCACTAAGTAGTAGCTTAAGTAGCTAGTAAGCTCTGGACAAAGGAAAGCTTAGGTTTCTCACTATTCAGTTGGTTTCTAGATGTTTGTGTGCTTCCTTCATGTTCTTCGATGACTTGTTAAAAGCTTTGATGTGCCAAGAGGCAGCTTGAAATTCTATTTCACCTTTCCAGCGTTGGTTCGTCTCATTCGATCCCGCATCAATCTCACTGTCCAAGCGCATGTACTCGGCAACCCTCTCCACCGACACAAACTTCGTCTCGACATCTGCCGCGCCCATCCTGCAGCGTCAATGTCACGACGTAGTGAAACACACAGGTCTTACAGATGCTCTGTTGTAGCTCGCCGTAACTTAAGGAAGTAGTAGACGCCTACTTATCGCTCACCTGATTAAGCACGAGTTTAACTACCGTAATTACCTACTAGCTAATCTGCTACTAGCTAGGATGCAGGATAGCTAGCATGACCCCCTAGTCCTTCACAGGCAGAATGAATCGTGGAATGGTCCCAGTTCTTTTTCTGGTGCTGAAGCCCCAAACTGAGTGAACCAAATGAATAGTGCGAGCGCTTCTTGAATTTTTGAGGGTGGGAGGGAGCTTCCTTGAAAACCCTGTGCTCATTTCAGCACTAAGGACAGAAAAGCATCAACACACCTGATGCTGTTTGCGAACCCCAACGACCAGCGTCTCGCTGAGGCCCACGCACTGGAGACCCGAAGAAACACCCCAAGACCCGTGATGCTTATTGCTCGGTCAACACGCGGCATAAACTACACCAGCGCCACACAAAACCCATTTCGACTCCCCATTTGGTTTGGTGCGGCCACGGCTCATGTAATCCATCATGTCCCTTTGAAGCTGTGCCGAATAGAGAAGAACAAGACCCATGTGTCCCGCCGGCATTCGCCCTTGCCGGGCCAGCTCGACGCAAACGAAAGCAGAGGCACAATACAGTATGCAGCCCCATTGTGTCGTGAGCGCTTGTGCCCATTTTCCAACTGCTTGATTCCCATAGAGGCCCTGCGACATTGTGCCAACATGTTTCAGGTTCTCCTGTTCAAACCGCGCCTGTAGCAGCAGAGGCTCCACAGCCCAAGCAAAATCCCCAAATATACAATGATTTTTCGAAAAGGACATCACAATGTTTCAGATGGCACCAACACAAAATGTGCTTTTTGGAAGCCATGAAAAAGACTTGCAGCAATGATGACAGCTTTATGGCTTCATTATGTGAATGTGTATATATATATATATGTATATATATGTGTGTGTACACATACGTTTTCTGCATTGTTCCAAACGAGTGTCTCATGCTTCCCTCTTTGCCTTTTTGCAGGTCCTGATCCTGAAGTTGTCTGAGGCTCATTGCTGGTCAAACCATGAAAAATTGAGGCCCCACACAAACAAACTACGCAAGCAATACGAACGGGGAAGGCAAATAAATGAAGACACTAATAACAAAAGTAACTGAACTGACTATAACTGTAAAAACGTGTAATTAGGGGTGCTTGCTTCGAGTGATCCCCATGCAAAAGAACGACTTGGAAGAAGGGGGACAAACGCTGCCTGACATGCGCAATGACACAATGCTGTGGCACACTGGTACACATCATCTAGCATAAAGGCGGGGAATGTGTTCTGACATCCTTTCTGGTTCCGGTGGTCAAGTGTGCCATGTGTTCTGACATGTCTTCTAACATGTACCTCCGACCGACGTGTTCTCGCATCAAATCTGGTGCATGTTGTGAAATGTGTTGCGACTTTGGTTCTGGTATGCATTCTGAAATTTGTTGCTATCAAATCTGCGATCTTATTCTGACATGTGTTCTGGCAAAAGTCCAGGGCGCTCCACTCTGGAGTCCAAAACGTGTAAAAGCCTAGCGCGCACCGCTCCAGCTCAGAGCACACCACACCGCCAGATCTCGCATTGGGGTCACATCTCGCTTACCATACAAGCGTCCTTGTTCCTAGTAGCGATGCCCTGTGTTCCTAGTAGTAGTGTCCTTGCTCCTAGCAGCGATGCCAGGAGCCCCTAGTAGCGTTCTTCTTCCTCTTCATGATCTATTTCCTCAAAATGACACATGCCTCATGCAAATGCACAACGTGCCAATTGCGCCTCTCAGTCTCTGAGTTGTTGCAGCGAAGTCACCTAGCCTAGGCATGATAACTGTAGTACGTAAACGTAAATACTCAAGGCAAGACTTAAGAAAAACCATTTAGTTGCAATAGCCGTGTGCTTTCCACAAATTATGAAGTACGTAGATTGTTCTGCGCTTCATTGTTCCTTCGCGTTGTTCAACCAGTATTTGGGATAGGGTTTGAGACTGAGGTTGGTGTTTTCTTGCAACCAAATTTAAATTGAACAAATCAAAACACAGTGTTTTACTTATTTTCCATGTTTGGACAACTCAATCAATGTCTCTTGAACTTCCTAAAATTGACAAGGAAATCTCAAACTGTTTCTTACGGCATCCAAGTAAGTCATTAGAATATACATGTCTTTACTACTCCATAATTACTGATTACTTAGCTTCCTGCGTTATTACCTGGTCTCCAACATCCTATCAGCAAACGTTCTCTCCGATTCTCGTCTCCGCCTCCGCACCAAAAGCCCGAACGGTTTCCCGGCCATGTAAGGTGTCATTGAAATGCGCATAAACGGGCGACCGTGCGGCACTCTCCAAGCGTCTGCTGTCTCGATTTGGGATACGCATCCTTCGGTAGATCATCGAGTATGGCACAGCAAGCACTGGCAAGGTGCAAAGCACCCAAGGGGCCTCGATATAGATCAAAGAGAGTTGTGTAATGATGTTTAAAGTCTTCATGATCTGGTCTGAGATGGAGTTGGGAACAAAGCTGTCGATGTTTTGCAAGTCTTGCAGGAAACGATTCAGCACTCGCCCGGTGGGCGAGGAGTCAAAGAAGGACATCGGCGCAGCAAGAATTTTATGCAACATGTCATGATGAATGGTATGGGAAGCTGCAAGAGCACCCGCTGTCAGCAGAACCGCTTGGACACAGTTCGCCAGACTTGTGGAGACACCAAGGCCGAAGTAGATCAACACGCTTTCGCGTTCGCTACGTTCTTCCGTTCCACCCGTCCATGCTGCAAGCCATAGCGTGGACATGATCTGACTGATGGCTGAGAAGATCATCAGCAACAACATCAATGAAATAATCAAAGTCGAACCAAAAGCTTGTAAATAGACTTTGAAGTCTGGCCATGAGATTGAACCTTCCCTCACCAGATCCGTGTCGTGCTCACCGCTCAAAGCTTGGTGCACACGCTCAATCAGCATCCGATCAATCCTCCTTCCATCTAAAGCTCCCAAGACCGATGCCAAAGCGCTTTGACATTCATGAAGCCATACTTGCTGAGAAATGGAAGCAAGGACAGAAGGAAAAACCCGACTTTGCTCGTTCTCTTTGCCACGTGCTTCTGCATGACTTGCATGCTCCTGAGTGTTTTCCTTTGCATCCTTGGCATCTTCCTCTTCCTTCCAAGCTTGGACAAGGCTTAGAAAGGTATCACCACTGTGAGCCAATACTGACCAAGGTCCCTCCAGCCAAATTTGCCCATCTCGCAGCATGATGATGGAGTCAACCTCTGGTCGTGACAAATACTGGATTTGGTGGCTCACGAGAATGAGGGTCTTCTTGGACTTGAGAAAGAACTCGACAAAGCACTTCTGCCAAATGAAGCGAGCTGTGTGCGCATCCACTGCACTCAACACGTCATCCAAACAAACCACATCAGCATCCGTGTAGATTGCTCGGGCTAAAGCTACTCGTGCCTTCTGACCACCAGAGAGTTGGACCTGGCACGACGACAGCCGGAGCGATCCAACGCTACTAGGGGCTCCTGGCCCTACTACTAGGAACAAGGGACGCTACTAGGAACAAAGGGCATCGCTACTAGGAGAAGGACTACTAGGGGCTGGGCTACGAGAGAGATTGGGCAAATAGGAAGAAGGAAGCGACGCCTTAAAAGCTCACCACGCCGCCCTAAAGGTTCCTAGAAAAATCTAGAGAAACTTAACTCACACTTTACATGCTTATGTTTACCCTTCTTTTATGCACACCGGCGTCTACAGCGTCTACCCCTCAACTTGACGACCTGCAGGCAAAAAAATAGCGTTTTCCAACTTGAGTCCCAGCTGCTCCGCTTTCACCCACCAAAGTGTAATCTCCCCTCGTCAAAGTCTTCAAGTCGTCCGGCAACGCTGCCATTTCCACGCAAGAGTTGTACCTCTCCTGTCAAGATACTTAAAGCTAAGTTAACCACCTAGGAACCAAATGAATACTGCGAGTGCTTCTTCAAAGCGCTTAGGCAGGCGAGCTAGTGCTTAATAAGCCTTCTTCCTCACGTCCTGCCCAATTCTTAAAAGAGCAACCGCACAAGTGATTGAACCTCTCCTCATCATACGGAAGTCCGAAGGTGATGTTCTCTCGGATGGTTCCATTTAGCAGGAAGGGCTTTTGAGGGACGTACGCCCGGCGACCGTTTGTATGACAAGAGCCATGCAAAGCAGGTCGCGCGCAAGCGAGGGATGCCAAAAGAGTACTCTTGCCACTGCCTACGGCTCCAGCAATCATTACAAAGCTACCTGCCTTCACCTGAAGGTTCACGGCGCTCAGTACACAAGTCTCGCTAAGGCCTGTTGCAGACATGCGTTTGTATCCAAAAGCTGCATCCTTCACCTCCACCGCATATTCCACCTGTGAGAGCACCTGACAAGGCCGACGTCATTACTAGCAACCAAAGGCTACTAGTAACAAGAAGCTACTAGAGGGGTTCCTGGCATCGCTACTAGGAACAAGGACGCTACTAGTGGCTCCTGGCCTTACTACTAGTAACAAAAAGCCATTAGTATCTTCATCAAGGCGCCTGACAAGGCCGATGTTCATCAAGCCAAGGTTCACTTCGCCATGAGTCTCTCGAGTCCATCGACCGGTGCTGCGCCTGCGCCAGCTGCGCCATCGGCCTCAGCTCCACGGAGGACGGGAGAGCTCCATTCGGTGCTGGTGCTCCGTAAGGAGTGGAGAGTTCAGTGATGGGAGTCGTGAGGAAATCATCAATGCGGGTGAGGCTTGGCTTCAGGTTGGCCACGGTATTGTAGATTCCAGGGAGGCTTTGAACTGACCACTGCAGAGTGGTAATCCAAGCAAGTGCAGTGAAAGCTGTTGCCTTAGCTGCTTTGTGCAAAAGCAAGGCAATGCACAACTGCAGCGATAGGGGTCGATCTATGAATCTATACCCAAAAAGAATCCCTACAGCTGATCGGGGACGTCGCACATACAACAACAAATGCATGTTTAGTTTGGTTTCCTCTCACCCGCTTCAATCCGTTGTCTATTTCCTCATTGTACTCTTTACATGGCGTTCGTGACTTTCAGCAATGATTTTGTGGTGCGATGCACCTGGGAAGAGCAGGAACCATAGAGTTGTAAGAGCGCTTCCTCTGGTTAAGGTTGTGGTACGCGTGGTTTCTATTGGAATGTAAGAGCTGGATTTTGCTACAGGACCTATGACAGTGATATCAGGTGACCACATTGGAATGCGCTACTAGTAACAAGGGCATCGCTACTAGCAAGAAACCATTGGTTTGTCAGTGGCGTGGTCCGTGACGAATTCAGCCCCGCGTAGCTAGCCAAGGCCGTGATAGCTGCCAAAACACATAATGGCCCCTCTTTTCTGACCGTGGTTGCGAGATCAAAAATCGATCCATCCTCTTTCTACTGTTTGTGAGAACTCAGCTGGAATTGCCGGGGAACAGTTGAAAATTCGGGTCGAAGCAGAACAATCTTTTAACCTTGTCCCTCAAAATCCAACAAGTTACAACTGCGACGTTCTTGCATTCACACAAAAAGCTCATCCCCTGGACTCTCCTCAAACGATGGACCAAAAGAACAACTCATGCATAACAAACAAATGCTGACCAGCAACCATTCAACACTCCTTGAAGAAAAGGTATCTCCTTTCTTTCGTTATTGCAACAAACGCAATGGTTAGTGAAACTTGAGCTCCCAGATTCTGATATCTACAGTCCACAGTACAGTCGTGATTGTGATCCGCGACCACTCTCCCGCCCTACAAAAATTGGCTACGTACAAACATTCACATATCTTTTATGTTGAAAAAAAGTGAATGAGAACAAAATGAGATGATTATATAAACTTTTCTGATGGAAACCCTTAAAAAGAAACTCAATATCAGTGGCTTACCTTCATTCCACAAAAGGCTTAAAATTGTCATCCACCATCATATTGACGGATGTGCAAAGATCCACGAGCCCGTATTCAACGAGCCACTACCTGTTTTTTTCATGTTTGTTTAAACCAATAGTAAGGTATGCAGGTGGATAGCTGGAATAAATCGCGGGACTTATTTGTGCACATATAGATTGACATGGGACTATAGATTTAACTTAGTTTGTTTCTACTCGTGAAATGTCTTTCTCTTCTAGTTGCGTTGGTGAATCTACAAACCCCGCCTAACATGTTTATTCACTGCGCGACTTTGAGATGTGATATTACGATATCATCGATCAAACTAAAATTCGCTAATCCAATTGCACAAAGATTGATTCGCTTGTCTCCATTGCACCCATGGTGGAGGTGCATGGGCGACACTAGTCAAGAGATGTCAAGACCAACAGCGACCTAGCACTGGACGTAGCTAGCCAACTTTCATTCTTCGTTCTCAGGTTCTTTGAGAAAGCTTCTCTTTTTAAGGCCGGAGCCCCTCCTTATTAGTAACAAGTGCCTTACTAGTAGTAACAAGAAGCTACTAGTAACAAGTGCATCGCTACTAGTAACAAGGGCCTTACTACTAGGAGCAACCGCTGGGTTCCAACCTCTTAGCCCTCCCGGCGCCTACTGTCCATTCGGTGAAAGAAAAACACACACATTGGACGCGAGAGATAGACTGAGAGGTAGAGAGTCGAACAGATAGATCCTGGAGTTCGGAAATTGAGGTTTCAGACCGACATCTTCTTTCTCCTTACTTTCGTCCCATGCTTTCAAAAGTCCATTGCTCCGAGTTGCCGCCGTAAGGTTGTTTTGATTGACAAGAGTGTACCAAGCAAACACGCTCACGGGGACCATGACGCTCAGCACCGACCCCACAAGCGAGTTGAAGGCTTGAAGGATGCGCACCCGACAAATTGCCTTCATTTCCAGCCCTCGTGGTTCACTAATCCGCTCAAGCCATACTGGCTCCCACACTTGCAGCTTGACAGTCCTCATTCCCCTCACCATTTCACTCATCAATCTGGCCCGATGATCGCGACAATCTTGAACTTTCCGGGTGTAATGTTGCAATGCCAATCCCAAAGACCTCGAAGTTGTAGCTCCCAGGATGATCATTATCATGCCGATAAAGGCCGCGGAGCCAACCAACCCATAGAGGAAGTACACTAAGATAGGTAGCGAACAAAATGTCCAAGACCACTGAGACAACTCAAACAGAAGCCCAGACCACTTGCCAATCTTGTCAGCATCTGTAGCCATTAAGTTGGCGATCTTCCCCACATCCAAAAGATGTTCAGGAATCCATAGTGACTTCCGAAAAATGGCATGGACCAACACAGAGCGCACGTTATTCTGCACCCGAACGGAAACAAAGAAACAGATCTCCATACAACTGACACGAACAAGCATTGATAGGCTGAGCGCTCCGACCAAAAGAAATTGAGTGGCGATGCTAACAGTGCCCATATCCTGCACAGCACTGAGAAGCACACGAAGCATCAATGGGTCGATGGTCATGAAGAAAAGAAATGTCCATCCATGCAGAACTGAATACAAGAAGACCCGCCGTTGAATTCTCCAGCAAATGGACCACAAAAGTTGGGCGCTGTCTTTCTCTCTTGCAGATCTTTCAGACTTTTGCATCTTCCAAAGTGCTGCACATTTTTGAAAGAGCAATTCTGGATCATCTGCCCTGGGCAGCAGAGGTAGGTCATCTTGGCTTAGACGGCCCTTTTCGTTCGCCACGCGAATGCTTGGCCACACCCACCAGAAAGTATACCTACATTCAGACTGACTCTACGAAGCGCCGTAACGAAAATTGCTTCAAGTGCATTGGTGAGACGACTTCAATGTCCGAAAAGAACGGAAACTAAAATTGGAAAGAAACTGAAACGAAGAGAGCACAAACGAACCCCCTACTTTTTGTGCCAAGACCGATAGGTCCCCAAAGGCCCTTTGAGGGGTTTATATATAAATGGCTTCGAATCTCTAAAAGGAAGGGAAGGGCTACATATTTTTCGGCAGACCATGTGCCCAGACCATGATGCTCATTGGTGGTGGATTGGATGCCCACTGCTGAGTCGGATGAACTGGTGGATCTCGCTTTGCTCCGATGTCTTGGTGAGGGCTAGCCCAATCCATTTTCTCCTTTCGTTGTTGTGCTAGGTCCATCAACTTCCTTTCCAACCTATACATCGAGTCCCTCCGGCCATTCATCACAATCCACACATGAACAAGGAAAAACATGAGGGAACACATCGGTCCTTTTGAGGGAAATTACCACGCGCGGCCGACTGCTTCCCTTGGCCTCCCCATTCTCCCCGAACCTATGCCTTGGACGCGCTAACTCTTCACCACAGATCCACCAATGACAAAATGATGAAATGAGGCACTGCAGCTTCGAAACTACATAGCATGAAACAACCCTGGACATGGGGAATTTAGGGACTTGGAGGCGGAAGCAGGCTTAGAAAGTGGAAGACGGGGGCCGGGACATGGGGCATTCCGGCAGCATCCTCCGTGTACGGAGGGCCTGGATAAAAGTCGGGTGAGCCGTCGCACACCGCAATATGGTTGACAAGCATGTGTCACACGCCCATGTTGCACCAGGTTGGCTGAGGTTGACACTATGTTCACCTATATATGTGTTGTGTTAGAGCCAGGTCCAGCTCATCGAAGCCAAAAAAACAAGTTAAACTCATCTTGCGACCGTTGTAGTCATGCTGGCTAACTGGCTACTATGACTACGACTACGACTACGACTTTACGACTGCGACGACGACGTTACGACGACGACGACGACGACGACTACTACTAGTAGGTCCGCCTCGATTTGTGCTAGATAGCATATGACTAATGTTACTTGCGGCATGACTTAGTAAGTACAACATAAGTTCAAGATAAGTTCATGTTAAGTATGTTAAGTAGCCGGTAAATAGAATCGTGTTTGTATTCTGTAAGATTGATTTTATTGAATGGGAAACATATACAGTATGTCATGTGCGACTCAACGAAAACAAGAACAGTCCAAAGGAAGCCTACAAGTCCAACGGGAGAAAGAAACAAACAAAACAAAGCTCATTTGCATCAAGCTGATGCTGTTCCCAGCCTGCCCAGGCACCAGGCAGCATCCTGGAAAGAAGAACATAAAAAATACGCAGATACAAAGGTGTGGTTTCTTGCAACCGCTGTCCGGGCTAGAGCAATATCAGCGAGGCATGTCCCGCGAATGCACAGCTGTTTCGTTTCATGGGAACTCGAGAGTTGGTAAGCTGGGCGAAACGTAGTTAGAGGTGCGGCAGGGGCCCAGCGAAGGAAAGATCACGGGAATGACTGCAGCGTACGCACGATGGGCATGCAGGCAAGCCATATACTATATTATCTAGGGATGTTGGTTGAGCCACGGACAGAGTCCAATA